CCCCCCCACCGCCAATCAATCACTCAATCAATCACTCAATCAATCACTCAATCAATCACTCAATCACTCAATCAATCAATCAATCTAATAACGTTTTGAATGGATTTATTTTTTTTTTGTCGTTTTTTTTTTCTCATGATCAATCAATCAATCAATCAATCAATCAATAAATCAATCAATAAATCAATTAACCAATCAATCAATCAATCAAACAAACAATTAATCCCAATCAATCAATCTATCAATCAATCAATCAATCAATCAATCAATCAACCAATTTTTTTTTTTTTTTCATGGGGGGGGGGCTTACCCTTCGACACCCGACCCCCCCTCGGCTCATCCACCCCCCCAACCCCCCCCCCGGAAGGCCACGCACTGGGGGACCGAACTCCGTACGTACGGCCCGTACGGGGGTATAGGGGTCCGTACGTACAGTCGTACGGGATTTTGTACGGCCCGTATATGTACGGGCGTATACAAAGTGAGCAGAGTAGAGCATGAACATTTTTCGATCAGCGAGTAAACGGTGTATATAAACCTCACAAAACCAAAAGTTCGGACTACCCGCGGTGTCTCATTCCCATTGACCCATAATCTCATGCTAATTAACCCATTCGTCGAAGGTACGCTACTACACTTCCATTCTACTTCACCGCACTCGGCTATCAGTTTATCGGGTCAACCCAGATTCTTCTCGAGCTAGTATTCATCCCTTGTCCTAACTACAAAGTAGTACAATGAGTCAAAAAAAATTCTGAACACAAGTCCATGCGAACACACCCACACATCCCCATTATTCCTCCACATCAAAAACAGATCACAAATTGAACGAGCTTCACGAGCTAGAAGAACTGTTGAAGAAGACGATCGATCGAACAAGATGCAACCCCTTGCTTGCATGTACATAAAGCCGGAAACATAGTATCGTCATGGAAGGCTGCTCCATAACCCCCCCCTTGGTATGCACACTCTCGATATCCTCAAGATCTTCTCTCATCATTCTCCTCCAACTTCGCAACTGAAGATTTTACTCACGTCGGAGCAGGGGCGCCAGTCAATCCTCCCACTCAGCCCACCGAGCCTACATTCCCGATCAATCACCCATATTTTTTATGCTTTGATCATCACCATCACTGACCCACTCATGGGTTCTCCCCGTCCTTTCCACCTCCCTCGTCATTCGATTATGCATAATTCATATTCGCCTCCTTGCCCAAAATCCATTTACGGAAACCACAACCGGATGATGGTCGTATCCCACAGCAGGCAAGCGAGCAGTCCTCCTTTATATCTCTATACGCCACGTAGCCTGTCCGCTTTCAGCATTGCCTGGCCCACCCCATTACAACATCTCCCCCGAAGCCATACAACACGCGCAATTCCCACAAAAACACCTCAACCAGAACAACATCATGCATAGCATTCACCACATGCAGTCGCATAGGCATACGATGGCGAATCACAAGGTAAGCCGATGCAGGTTAATCCATAACGGATTACACTCCTAATCTTGAACTATAAAATATATATAGTAGAGGAGGAGGTAGAAGAGGAGGAGGAAGAGGAGGTAAGAGGAAGAAGGAAGAAGAAAGGAAGGAAGGAAGGTTCTCAATTGATTGGTTCGCCCACCACTTTACCACACAAAGGGTAGGTAAGCGACACAAGCGTACTCTTTGGCTCGGGTGGTGGCATGCATCCCTTAAACATGTTTTTCGCTAGTTATGCCACTGTTGCCACGTACTAGCTCATCAGAGGTAAGCCATCATAGGATAACACAACGTACGTATGCAAGGGTAACCATTATTGAGAACCATTTTTTATAATAGGAATGAGCAGGGGAGTGAGGGGAACAAGGGTGCAATTATTACAATCAAGACATCACCTGAGGTTGCGCTTCCACATGTTGGTCTGCAATCCCCTCATCTGTCAAATGCAAATGAAACATCTCCTCAAAACTGAAAGCGGAGTCCATCATAGCACCCTAGACGATCCTCCTTGATCCGAGGGCTACCGTAACGAGCGGTGCGAAATTGAAGCAGATTCCAAGAGGAATGATCGAGCACAAAATCGAAGCAGAAGCAGAGACAGAGCTCGAAACTCTAGGCAAGGTTGTCAGCGGGACAACCGATAGTTCAAACGCAAGAGTAATGGCGGCGAAGAGAGGAGTAGACACCTTCGTCGACATAGCACCCACAGGTCTATTCGGCGAAACCCAGTCGTGCGAGGGCGAGACGCTTCGTAATTACGCAAATCATCGGCGACTTTCGTGATTACTCGCGCCCACCTCTCCGGTTGAAGAGGATTAGTCCTTCGATAATCTAGATTAAATACACAATATTGAACCTCGTATTCTTCGGTAACCCCGGGGCTAAAACACTATCCACCGCCCGGACAGCCGTGGTTCGTCAGGTAAGACTCTAGAGCCTATAGGATCCCCTTTATTTGGTCGGTAATATAGGCAAAAAACATGGACCGTGCTCATAGAGGAGAAGGGTTCAAGGGTTACCGAGTCCTTCCGCCATCAAACTCTTACTTTTTTAATTCGTTACAACCTCATCAAGCCAGTATTCGTGAAAGGTACTGGGTTCGATTCCTCCAAAATACCTTTTGTGAAACAAGAGAGAAAACGTTCCCACCCTCTTGTATTCATGAATAAGCGTGTGTGTGTGTGTGTGTGCGTGTGTGTGCGTCTGTGTTCGCGGGGGAGAGGCGACCCCCCCACTGCCAATCAATCAATCAACCAATCAATCAATCAATCAATCAATTAACCAATCAATCAAACAATCAATCAATCAATCAATCAATCAACGAATTAATCAATTAATCATTTTTTTTTTTCTTAACCCGGGACCAATTTTTTTACTGTTTTTTTGAATGGGGGGGTACCCCCTGACACCCGACCCCCCCCCAGCCCATCCACCCCCTCAGCACCCCTCTGGAAGGCCGTGTACGGACGGCCCGAAGTCCGTACGTACAGGCCGTACGGGCGCCGGGGGAGCCGTACGTACGGACATGCGGACGGGCCGTATTCGTACGACGGTAGGCACTGATCACGATAATTACATAATTTTGTTCCTTGACTATATTAAATCCTGAGTTTTTTTGAATTTTACTATCATAGCTTAAATCCTGATAGTTTTTCTAATAATTACTTTCTGTTATCTAAATTGGTGGGAGTAGTCATCTGTTCATTGGGCGCAAGGAAAGGGGGTAGATTATTCCTGCGCCCTTGTCAACGGGTCCTTTTCAGAAGAAAATTCCCTGTTTATTCCTCGGCTGGATCGATTATTTTAGAAGGGTAGAATTGGGGGAGTGGGGTGGATAGGGAGCG